TGGCTAAAATTGGTGCTGTCATTGCTTTCAACTATGAAAACTCTACTGCCTGTGGTAAACAAATTTTGTGTCAGTGTCATGCTTTACTTATTATGTTGTTCTTTCAGAGCAGAATCTAATTGTAGGTGATGCAGAGCTTGGCCAGTGCCATCTGTTCAGCTTAGTTTTCCTTATTGAATCACCATGTATCGAATCAGATCTGTTTGGGTGAAGACTGGTTCATACAATCTTAGGCTACTTGGATGTGAATAACAAATTTGATTTGGGCTCCCAAGTGTGGGGTTGTTTTTTTCTTTAATTGCTCTTATTAGATCAAATATATTTCCCTGGAGGGAAATATTGCCTCTTCAATGTCATCATAGAGTACTTATTATTTGCTTCTTAACTTGTAGTCTTGTTTGGTTGGCTTTGGTGTTGGGGTTTGTTTTTTTGGTTTCTTTTTTCTCAACCAAGTTTTGTTCACACGGACGAGCCAAGCTAGCATCACAGGTTTCGTTTTGTACTTATGGTACCCACTGTCCATCCTTGTCTTATTGGCCTCTTGCATTTGGGGGCATTGTTTGGAACAGACCCTGGGAAGGATCTCTGCTTTTGAGTTCTCTTGGCTCTGTTCAGAGTTTGAGGAGTTACTATGAACCCTGTTTCAAGGGTCTTAAAGCACACATGCTGCTGCTTTTTCCTGACAGGCATGGATGCTCTTGACATCCTGGAGGGGAAGAAAGCTCACCTGAAGCTCTCAGGTCCATTTTGTTTGGTTTCAGGTTATTAATACCTGAGAAGGTTCAGTGTGCCTGTCACTGTTTAAGCATGAGGTCACTGCTGCATTAAAGAAAGCTTTGTGTGCTACTCTGGCATATTTGAGTATGTGTATTGGGGTTGGGCGTAATTTCCTTGTTCTGATTCATGAAATAGTCTGGTGCTACTCAGCAGTATAGGGAAACTTCATGAATAAAACCTGTAAAAAACGTTACAACCCTACGTTATGTTTCTGCATTTGAGAACTGCTGTTCTAGCACTGCACCATCAGCTCCTACCTTTCTGGACTGAGAAACCCTGTGCAAACTACCTTTGGAACATAGGTATTTCCTTCTCTGTCCAACAATATTTGGAAAAAAGATGATAGGCCCTTAGACCATGGGATTTGGAAGAGGCAAAGTCTGGGAGAATTAAATCTTCTTGAATTGTCCCACCACTGGGTTTGTTTGGAATAGAAATGTGCCTCTCTCACCCTGAGAATACACTGTGTAGCCCTGTCTAATCCTGTCTTTCTTCTTGGTGTAACAGTCTTCAAGGCTTGACAAAACAAAAATTGAGTGTGTTAAAGAGATAAATTATGTAAATATTTTAAGGATTAAATTTCTTTATATTCAGTGAAATCTAAAAACCTTTACAATAACTCATTTAACCTTTTAATTTTGCTCTACTGTAACAGCTGGTAGTAGATGTCCAGGAACATTGTCAATGGCCCTGTGGGTTTCAGGAGTAAGAATCCCATTTCTCCCCTTTGGCTGCTTAATTTAATGAGACTTTTGCACGGAAATACTAGAACTTGGAACACACATTAGTAAGTTTTGACTGTTTCAGGAGTCTGTCATCTTAATATTCCTAAACTGATTTCTAAAAGTAGTTAAGAATTTTCATCCAGGTAATTCAGTATTTTAAAAGCTCCATTCTACTTATTATCTTATAACTTTGCCCTGCAATTTTGACATTAAGAGATAATAAGCTAATATCCAAATCCAAAAAAGTTACACAACTTCAATGGTGAAACTTTTATGACTGGGGTTTCTTGGTACACAGAGGAGCAAAATGTCAAAGCCCAATGATATATGTCAAAGAAATGTGTAAAAAGCCATACTGGGATGTATGCTTGATAATTATGTAACTTTTCCTGCATCTTACATTTCAGAAAAACACAGATGAAAACTGTTGTTTAGACTCCACTTGATCCCACTTAAGAGTTTTGCTCAAAGTCAAATCTTTACATGAAAATACTGTGCTCTGATCAGGTACATCTTGGAAGTAGCTCTTGGTTCTTGATAAGAAAGTGTCACTCTGGAAGTGAAGAGGTTCAGGTCTAACAGCACAGGTTGGCACATTGTCAGTCACTGAGTACATCAGCAGCAGCACACAGTTACTCCTCAACACTAAAGACCAGTAAAATTCATGTGCACAACTAATAGCCTGGCAATGTTAGCATCTGTCTTGAAAGTTATACTTGAAGCTGTTTTTTACACCATGCTGCTGAGAGTACCCATGAAACAACTAACAAGCATCTGGAACTGTTTCTGGGCTGTCTGACAGATACTAGTTATCAATTGTGACATCCCTGTAATTGCATTACACAATTTTCTCTTCATCTGTATATAAGAAAAGTATTCATAACTACAGAGATTAAACAGGTCTCAAAATGTTCACTTTGATATTTTATTTTAGTTCTGTCTATAGGTTGAAAAGAAGGAAAAAAGTGAATGCTGATGAGGGAGCACCCACAAAAATTAAACATAGCCTGTAAAAAAGTTTGCCTAAGCAAAGCGAGGAATAAGGATTGTTTGGGCTCTGTGAGCTGAAACCCCTGCTCTAATGCTAGGATCCCTCTATGCACAAGTGAAAATACTGTCATAATTTATGTATTCCAAAATCTTTCTAAGGAGCAGAGATATGTCTGAAGAGCATACACAATCTGGAAAATATGGAAATAAAAATGATAAAAAGCAGGATACTTAGGGTGGTAAGTTTTTCTAAGTAGAATTGCAATTACTTAAAACTCTGCATTTTTAAGGGACTTTCCTGTCAGATGAGGGAATGGATGGGTATTACTGTTGGGGTAGAATTGTTAGTGTCTTATCCCCAGCCTATGTGGACATTTGCTGGTGGAAGAATGTGTTAGGAGGCTACTGAGTGTTTTTAGAAATACTTAGAAATACTTTTTTGTCTTAGAGGTGATGAGCAGGAGTCAAAACTCAGTTATTGGAGTGGAAGTGATGTTATACTTTAAAAAAAATTAATTTGCTGATTAAACAGCTGACAGTGGTTACTCTAGTTGATTGTGTGTAATGTGTATGCATTTTGAACAGAATTATCATTTGTCACTGTACTTTGAGTAGAAATATATGTGAATTGCCCTGCAAAAGCTTCTGGATTCTAAAAAGGGAAATTTTAATTAAAAGATGGCTAGTTTGTGAATTTTGTTAAAATAGAGAACTAAGAAATTTAAACTCTAGAGCTTCTTTAAGCACAGGCCATAGAGAGAATAAGAGGCCAATCAGTGGAAAAAGAGCTGCATCTTGGAATACAAACAGGCAAGTGCAAAGTGAGGATTGTGCATGTCCAGCTGAACTGCCATAGCTGGGAGGAAGTGCACCTTGAGTGATGCTGGTAAAGCAGCCCAGTAGTGACAATGAGGGAAGAATAGTTACACTCTCATATCTATGTCAGATCTAGACTTAGCTTTTAGCCTCACTGAAAACTGAGATGATGGTGACATGACATCTAAAGGGATAGAAGCCAAATGGTCAGCAAGCCTTAGGGTAATTGAACTTCATTTTGCAATAAATGAACTGGAAGCAGATTTGAGTTGAATGCCCCGGGGGATGAGGAGTGTGTAATGGGAGATGGGGATTAAGATGAGGTAATTTTCCACTGTGACTTGCAAAAGTGTTGGTGTATGAGATTGCTGCCTCAGTAGCAAGCTTCAGCTGGTATCATGTGACTGAAAGAAAGAGATACTGTAGGGACCATGGATTATTTACTAAGGTGTGACTTTAAAGTTACCATCTTTTAATAGAAAAATTCTTTGAAAAATATCAAATATTAA